TCGTCCTCTCTCTTCTCTCTCTCTCTCTCTCTCTCTCTCTCTCTCTCTCTTCTTTTCTCCTTCACCGTGGCGATCGTCAACTACTTCGTGCCCCCTCGCTATACCTCTAGCCCCCACCTCCTGAGATCCTCCTCCTTACTCCACACACAACGCGACACTTGACTACACAACTTTTCTCTCTTTCCCTCCAACTTTGACTCCACGTTTGCTTTTCACTTCAATATACCACCGCCGCGATGTCTCTCTCGCTCGACACTTATACAGTGAAACGCACGAACATCACCAGCTGACGAACGTATTACACAGGCACATTTACGCGGCATAAACGCGTACCAGCGGTTTAATGCGCCGATGATGCGTGTATGTCCCATCGCGCGTTTCACCACCAATTGTCATCGGCTTTTAGAAAGTCGCGATGACAAACAACGCTATTGATCGTTAACTTTTCAAATTTTTTTCACGTAGCTACGGTCGAATTTAAAAAAACGTGATCCACGTCGAACGACAAGTTCGATCATATAGACCAACCGAGTCAAACGATTGTTGTTGATGTACCGTTGTACGCGAGTGCGGCAACGTGCCGACGATCACTAACAATATACAAGTTGACAATCCGGCGAGCGACGGATACGATGACGACAACGACGACTTCGGCCGTGGCATCGCGAAAGTGTGTTTTGCGCAGTTCTTTCAAGGGAACTCGCCTCCTCGCGCTTACTTGTCGCCCTCCTGGCGCGACCGCCGATCAAAGGGGCGGGTAGGGGCGGCTGTAGGTGGTGGATCGCGAGCATAGAGGTTGCGGGGGAGGACATTCGGTGGAACGGCGGTGGGGACAGCCGAAGGGGACGATGTGGTTCGCGGGGTGAATAAAAAGGTGCACTGACATTTTTCGCCGGCCGGCAGATTGCCGATATACACACCTACCTACGAGAAGTACCTGCCAGCGAAGATATTTTTGCCGTTTCGTGGTGAAACTCACACGCTCTCGCGTTTACCCCCTCGCTTAAACGGATCTTTGTAGTGGTGCATACTGGTGCATAGGAGAAAGGGAGAGAGAACAAACTGGATAAATCGTCCCCTTCCACACTTCTTTCGCCCCCCCTCTAATATACCACGGTGGGTGCGGAGCTCGGCTTTTTTCCCCTCCGTGGGCGCGGACTAGCCTTGCTCCGCCCCCTACCACCTTTCCCTACCCCCTCCTGTATACTCGAAGCTACTCGTACTACCACCAAATCGTGTGCCACTGCCTTTCTCGTCACCCCGCAGTGTGCGCAGCACGTTGAGCTACTACTTCGCGCTCTTGCTCGCCACGGCGACGTCGACGGAGGAACACATTGCAGGACAAAGAGAGTCCAGAAACTGGAGCGAGATGGAAACATACGGTGGAGGCACACCGAGACGTGAAACATTAGTGTACCGTTTGTTAACACCGCGGTCTACACATAGCCGCGCGCAACTCTCACTCCTCTCCTCCGTACCCTTCTACCACCGGTGACTTCAAGAGGCCGCTACTATGCGTATACGCTTTGTAAGCCCACGTGCAAGTGTATGAGTCAATATACGCGAGTGTCATTGCAGTGTGTGCTCTTGCTCGAAGGGATTCTCCCCTCTTTGTTTTATTCGTTCTCTCTCTTTTTCTCTCTTCCGCTCTTTGACTCCACCTTAAAACTCCCTTCCTCCGATCAGTTCCTATCCCTACACCGGTAACTTTCCGAGAATGCGATACCGAATTTGTCGACGGCACAGAATGTCGACGTTCCGCTACGACTACGCCCAAACTAAGCCGCTGACCGATGTCATCGCACATCGATTTTGGATTTCCGTCTCTGTGCGTGTGCTACGAGGATCAATCGCGCGTCTTCGGAATCGGGAATTAAGGAGCCAACAGGGAGTAATAGTGGCTTTGTATCGTGGCTCCTTTATAATATTACCGACGTTTAATGTCATGGAATTCTCGGTAAAGGATTTTTAAAATAGCTGCGTCACGTTTATCTATAATAAAATGTTGAATTATTCATCGAGTGGCCATTGTTCCTTATTGAAAATTATATCTTTTTTATCGACATTTTTCCTTCTCTTTTTCGCGTGTGTGTCTAATTCGTAACCAGAATATCGATTTGCAAAACGGAATTAATCGTAATGGAGCAATTTGTAGCGAGTCGATCTACAAACGGTGGTATACCATTGGGGGTGTTTTATTATGACTGTGCCCGCTATATAGGTGTCTCCACGCTTTGAATTACTAATGCCGTGGATCAACCAACACGTTTAACTGTAGCGAGATGAGACAGTTAACTGTAGCGCGAGACAAGGCATTAACATGTTAATGCGTCCTACTCTATAGGCTATAGTCTAGCACAGTACGTACATGCAATTCATGTTAAATGCATCGGCTCTACGCATTGTTACGCTTCAACTAATGATTCGCATTCTGCCGCGAATTTGAATGTAAATGAAAGGAAAGATGATACGGTTTAACTGCTACTGTTACGCATAATGTATATTAAATATGTTATCGGCTTGCATTTTTAAATCGATATACGCGTTGATAATAATTTTGAAAAAAAAATAATAATTAAAATAATGCATAAAAATCTTTCTCTTCGATGACGCTTGTTATTATATTTATATAGAAGTCATTCATATTTATTAAATGTAATGAATGTTTTTATAATGTGATTCGCAATTAAATTCTTGCAACATGTTATTAAATAGTTGAACTAAAAATAGAACGAAATGCTAATCAGATTGTAAAAACACGTTATACGTTATAGTTCCCTTTGTAATATATTTGAACACGATTATCGTGCTCTTTATCACCGGATTTCCCTGGAATGCCTGAACATGGATAAGTTAAGATTACGTATATGTAGTAAGTATTATTATACACTGCAATAAAATTTCTCACATGAAACCCGTTCAAGTATACAATGACTACTGTATGCAAGAGTATTTTTTTTCCCTATCCGTTACTATGAAAATGCGTACGAGCTATCATACAATTACCGCCTATAATTGCAGATTATACACGATACGAGAAGCATACGTAATACCCAGTGTAAATCCATCCGCGTATAGATTAAACTATAGGTTGAATCTATAATTATTTGCACGATATATATTGCGAGCATGTTTAAAATGTTTATCTAATATATTCAAAGGTTACAATTTTCCTAAATAACCTCCACAGCTTATCTGATTTAACGACAAGCGCGTGCCACACGTAATTCGATTTGCTCACGTTTCATCCGATTGCTTCGATAACATTGTACACCTTTCTATCCTCGTGCACTTGCGTTTCAAACGCCAAAGCTACTAAAATTTAGATGCAAACACGAATCTCATTCCATATATCGTCACTATCGATATTGTTCAATTTCCAGTTAAAATTATACCGCTATTGAAACTCGTTCACACAACATGCAAGGGAATTTCATCGCGAATCTAAGACGTAGCTATCTAACCAATGCGATGTTTTCTTCGAACAACAAAATCGAAGGAAGACTTAAAAAGAGACTTTTCCTGCGCAAGATCGACGGTCAAGAAGTGGTTGGCGACCAGTCACGGGCAAGGTCGACGAAAGCTGCTGCACAGGTGGCAGCACGACTCGACAAAGGACGGTTATAGACCCTCCTCGTTGGTACCTTGGCATCATTGCCAGTGGGAAAAGTGGGGGTTTGCTTGGGGCCATTAGGTGGGGGCTTTCCCTTTCCACTTTCCACGCGACCACCCCTCTTACTACTCGTCCCTCTCTCACCGAAAGGGACGGAAGGGGTGACGTGTATACTTTCGACAATGTGTGCAGCAACGGTTGTCACCGTGTTGAATACCCGCACTTCGACAGGTTCCACGAGTGAGACGTTTCTAACGCTAAACCGCGGTGCAACGAGGAAAGAATCATGGACGGGTTCAGCCTGCACTCGATAGAGTGCGCGCCCGTTGCATTTTTGAATTGAATCTTACATTACACCTTTCTCTCGAATCCGTTGATCGCTGAACGGATGTTGGCGTGGATGTTACGTGGTCTTGTCTTTAAAACAAATTCTTGAATCGAAGAATCTGTGATCCATGAGCCGTAATAGTAAGTAACATTCGCAATCATATTTTTATCGTTAAAAGAGAAGTTTCACGAGGTTGAAATTTTTAATCATGATTCTTATCAAATCGCAATTAATCATTAATTTTAAGGTTATAATGCATCGAACGATAGGTACAAGACATTTTATATTTAATAAAGAATGATTCATATTCATAATTATAAATCATTATGAATTTTTACACGGTACAATACACGTTCGAAACAATATTCAAGTTCTCTTCGTACTTTTCTCCCGACTAAAACTCGCTAAAAACTTCGTCAAAATATACACATATATCGAGACCTTACGAGCACGGTTGCTCATAAATCAAAGATGCTAAAGGCGGTAAGGCACGAAAAGCCTTGGAAGCAAAGCGAAGTGTACTACTTACGGAGTGAAGTGGATAGGAAGCTCGAGTATAAACTTGCGTGATTAATCTTACCGGATTGATAACGCTCCCCTTTCGGTCGTACCCTTGTGCTCCCATAAATTACGTTATAAGGAGGCTCGGGGATAATTAATATCGCCTACCGTACATAAGCACGCCGTTGTTGCGCGTAGTTGACACAAGGTGATCCGCGATGGTGTTTCCACGCCTTCATTGTCCACGATCACTTCACCATGAAATCCATCGCGTGAATTCTGCTAGGTATTTCGAACGGATTGCGCGATCTTGCGAACTGCAAGATATCGCGAGTCATTGCTACTTATTGTCGTCAGAACGGTACATTACTTGGTAATTCCCAAGTTATTAATGAGATAACGGTTGTTATGTCTGATTATAGCCGAGTCTTAACCATGGTATACAAATATTATTAATAAAGATAATATTTTTTTCAAACGGCCAAATGAATAATTACTTTATTAATTCTGTTTTTAAGTTACACTTTTCTTGACTCATGGGAAAATTTTTCTGTTATCAATGATATATGTTGTTGAAATTGAATGTAACCAAAGAAATATACAATATACGCATCGAACAATAAATTATTTATCTTTCATTTATTTAACAAATAATCGAAGTTCGACATTACATATTATTGAATATATGTTCAAAGTGTTCAAAGTGTTTTCGTTGTTCTTTATATAATTATAATTGCGTCATACTATCAAATAATGGGGAAGAATCGGATATGTTTCTGTTTGCTTCACAAATTTGCTTTAGTCTCGCAACATTTTAAGTGAAAGTATCGAAACGGAAATATTTTTCGTCGCCCATGTGCCGATCCCGATTCGGCAACACTTCAAGCGACATAAGTACAAATACGTCGTGGCTGATAAGGATCGGCCAGGATGAGTGGCGTGTCTCATGATCGTCGGAACCATGCACGATCACGCTCCTGTTATCAATGATGGACGAAGTGCTCGTCCATGTTTCGACGCAAATCAAACAACGAATCGATCGATAACCGATATCTTCAAAGGATTTCGGCCGACCCTTTGTCAATCTATCGGCTGATAAATCTGAAATCTGGTCCGAGTAAATAATATGTCTTCGCTTCGGCACGTCGATTGCAGGAGGCGACCGTCAACAATCGCGAATTGTTAAACATTCACAATTTATCGAAATGATCGTTATGCACAGCGTGTCTTTCATGAACTGAAATTTTAAAACGTAATCGAAAGGAACGAATCATCGAAACAATTCAAAACTACATTCCCACGAAAAAAAATTTAAGGTTAGACTAGCATCATGCGAGCATATTAGCGAAGAAAAATCGCATCGAACTAGATTCGAAATTTTAATTTTTAAAGCTTATATTACTCGAATCACGGAGAGAATGGAGACAAGCCCGATATGTTCCACGATGAAAAAATTCGGGCAAATTCGGGCTGGTGGCTAGAAATGCTTCGACAGACGTTCCCTCATCCGACACAGCGATGTTCGTCCATCGGAAAAGGTGGACTCGTATCTCATCGAGCGGCAACATGAAAGATTGTTCGTGGTAGAAAAGCCGGATTCGTCCCGTTCCAACCCTATACATTGCCGCGAGCTGAGCGGTCCATAAACAGTGTGATCGTTGTGCTATCCGCGCGCAGGACTCGGCGTGTAAACGTGAGAAGAATCCGGCCGGTCAGTGGGAGGGGGAGGGAGGGGGGATAATGGAGGGGGGAGCTAGATGAGCGGTGCGGCCACCCTATAAAGGGAAGAGAGGTGGAAGGAAGGAGCGGTGCCGGCGCTCATTAATTAAACGAAGCGTGAGATTCTCAACCCTCTGGCCCCTTTCCTTGGCCCCACCTCTCCTTTGTTCCAAAACGGCCAACCCCCACGGACGATCTGAAGGAGCCGCCGATCATCCGGCAGAAAGTCGATCGACCGATTCCGTCCCCCTTGAGCCCCTGCCCCCCTCCTCCCCCCCTCCTCCTCCTCCTTTTTTTACCCTCGTGTCGTTAAACTGTTGGGACGGATCAAATGAATGGAACAAAGGATGGCAGGCCGGTGCGTGTACCTAGCATTATGGGTGAAAACAAATCTTCTCCTTTCCAATTCTCCTTAATTCCGTTTATATTTTGATATCAATAGGATCGTGGATAAAGGAGAAAATAAAATTTACCAATTTTCGGTCATATCGATTAATTGGATTTCTTTTTTTTTTCGCCCTTCATTCGAGGAGAAAGAGAATTTTCTAATCCGTTATTCGATAATTCTTATATAAACGAGATTTATTGACGGAACGGGGTTAATTGACGCGTTCGAAGGTGCCCTAATCTCTCGAACAAGTACACGAGGCGTACATGGAGGAGTCAAATCCGGGAACGGCGAAACGCAAGTGTCGCTCGTGTCGTCCATCGGCGCTCGACGAGCCGATTCATCATTTATCAGGGACAGCCACGAGCTTTCTTTCGAATTTTCGCTGATGGATCGTGATTTAGACGGCGGATGACAACCTCGTGATCGCGCGATTTCACTCGTCGATTTCGAACCCTCTCTAAGTCACCCTTAGCGCGCTCCTCCTCGAATCGAGGGGGGGGAGGGTAGGTCCCCCCACCCCCCCTCGCCACGTTTCCGGATTTATCGCTCGACGACCAAAGAAACCTTGTTCCCTTATCTCGTCGGGACGTTCAATTATCTCGAGCGGCTTTCTCGAAAAAAAAAAAAAGAAAGAAAAAACTCCTTTCCAACTCTCTTCCCAAATGATAAAGGGGCATGATCGATGCACAGGTACCACGGATATTAAGACCGATCGAAAGAACTATCGTCCGACAGACGAGAGGAGGGCCAATGTCGGTCGTCCTCGACGATAATCGATGCGGATCGTCAACATCCGGCGAAACGAGCTTGAAATTCAGTATCTGTCCGAGTTAATGGCGTACGTATTTATCGCGATCGAAATCGACAGAGCGTGGAAGGCTAGGGGGGAGGAAGAGGAGGAGGAGGAGGAGGAGGAGGAGGAGGAGGAGGAGGAGGAGGAAAGGCGGGCCGGGCTAATCGAGTCGAGCACTCGAATGTCGATAATCGCGTCTCGAGCGCGCTGCATACTCTTATCTAGGGATATATTGGCGGCGCTGCGAGCGACACGCTTGCTTATTTTTTTTTTTTTTTCTATTTATTTTTCTATCAAACAAATGAACGCGTTGCGTGTTCAACGTTGATCACGGATGGCACTTTGCCTTTAACAATGCAACGTTTCGAGTAAGATGAGGAGAGAAATGATAATCATTTTCACCTCGATATCTGGGGTTCCCTAGATTTATCAATTTGGCCTTACGTTCTGGCGATTACGTAGATATTATTTCGCGATTGAAAATTTTGGAAACGTTTATTTATCCGAGTAGATGTATATTCTTGTAGTTCTTAGAAGAATTTTCTGATAATAATGGAATAATGATTTGAAATGCTTTTCTAAATATGTGTTTCGATGTATCGTGGAACGAGACAGCGATTCCATAATACTTTTCTCCTTATAATACGTTCGTTAATATTCTCAAGCAAGAATAAAAGGTTCAGTCGAGTAAAGCGTAAATATCTTATCTCGATGAAGTTTTCTTGGAATAAGAATCATTAAGAATTGAGGGATTCAGAGTGAGAAAATCTGTAGCTCGAAGAGATTCTGGTCTGAGTTAAACTTTAAATAGAGGAATCTTCATGCCTTCCATGAAATTAAGATGTCACGTGTTATTACAATATTACCATTTCAAAAAATATTCGTACTATTCTTTTTTCTCTTTCGAAACAAAAATAGAATTGTGCTATTTTTTTCATTTCAATCTTTGAACACTCGACCTTGGGTTATTTTTTACCCACATGCGAGGAGTAATTTTTTTTTTTTTTTGGCCAATATTAGACACATGTTAAAAAGATTATACTAAAATAGAATAGTTAAAAGGAATATACTTGTTAAAAAAAAAAAAAAAGAATACTTTAAAATAATTATTCTCTAGTTATCTTAATTACTCTCCAATGATAAACAGTTGCACGAAAATGTCGACTGGCTCAAATAATGTAAATATAGTTAACATGTAGGAAAACATTGTTAAAACAAACTAAAGGAAGGACTTTTTTTCTTCTTCTATTTTTACATAAATGCAAAATACAATATAGAAAACGATTTTAGTTGTTCTATTAAAAAACTTGGTGCTCGACGGAACCGATAAAGTCGCTTTTGACGTTAATTATGCATACAATTACGCATATCTAAGAACGAGTATGTCATCGTGTATGCAATTAACGTGCACGTGTCTAACGCGAATAACTTCGACATTGACAATGACGATTTCCTTCTAATTCACAACCTTATGTTTCGAAAACTAGATTATCGATACGTTATCAACATCTTATTGATAATTTTACGATGTATCGATAATCGTTAAAATGATTTATTTGTTTTTATTCACGTAACACGTAAAAATATTATCCGTGCAATAAATTTTTCTCTTTCAGCCATATCTATCACAGTGTTTTTGATATTTTAAGTACATCGAAAATTAATGAATTATCTATGGCTAATCGTTAACAATAACGTTTTATAATAACTTTGAAATAAGAAAAAAAAAAGTTTAAGAACTCCATTTATTTTCATTCGTTATCGATATATATATATATATATCGAATAACGTGTAAATATTATCGATATTTCGATTTCTCGTCTCTTATCTGGAAACATCACGAAGAAACGCGTTCGATCAACTAATTATTTCACAGAAGATACCGTATCTATTATCTACTTACATAAATCGGTGTAATTGTTTAATCGTTACGATTAAAAAGAGATTAATATACGTTGTAACGGGTTACATTCCTTTTCATACGGCAATTAATTTCATGCCAGTCAAGATTTCACAGACAATGGCGATAAAAACGATAGAAAACGGTAAGATAACCCCAAACGACTGAATTATTTATTTATTAAATCGTATTGATTAAATCGAAATAATATTTCTTTGTATTAAGCGAGTGAAACCGATTAATAATTATACGAGACGTTTTATACATACGTATATATTAATGTATACAATAACGAAATTTATCCTTCATAACCTGTACGCTTATCGCGACAATCTTTTCAAATAATCAAAGCAATTAAATGGCTACATCGTGCACCATGTCGATGCATCCCGGCGATGAAAGACAGGTGTGTTCCACTCGCTATTAAACGGTAATTAAAGATAATTGCGTGAGTTTCCATCCGCTCGATAACAAAGTAACAATCGCTTCCTGTTGTAACTTCGACCCATGAACGGGAGATCTGGTGTATTGGTAAACGCCAAACATTCC